TGTCCCTCTCCCAAGTCCATGTGGGTTCCCCAGGCTACTGAAATCAAAGCAAGGATTCCAACACCTCTTACTCAGTTCCCAGCCACCAGCTCTGCTCCCTGCTGGAGCAACACTTTGCCACCCTCCCTGAGTATTTCTCTCAGAAACACTGCAAAGAAAGGCTGTGTGTGCACACACAAATCCAGCCTTGCTTGGACCACATCAAGCTGATTCTCATGCCAGAAACACAGGAAATCTCCTGAAATCATGAAAGCACAAATCCTGAGCCCCTCTGTCCCTCTCCCAAGTCCATGTGGGTTCCCCAGGCTACTGAAATCAAAGCAAGGATTCCAACACCTCTTACTCAGTTCCCAGCCACCAGCTTTGCTCCCTGCTGGAGCAACACTTTGCTGCCCTCTGTCACCACCTGCCCCGTGGGTCACCCATCTGCCCCGTGCCACACTGCCAGTCACAGCTCTGCCACTGCTGTTGTTTTTCAAGCTCCAGGGAAGGTTTGCAATGAGCGACCCGAGCTTGGGGTCTGTCCCAGCATCACTGCTGACCCCACAAGAGGCAGATCCCAAACTCCACCTTTGCTCCACCAGAAGCACCCACGAATGCCCTGCTTAAATGCTGCACCACGTCCCTGAAGCAGAAGGACACAGCAGACTCTGTGGGCACCCAGCCCAGCACAGACCTTGTGTGCCCTGCACGTCCCTCCCTCAGCCAGCAGCTCCAGGACAGCTGCTTTAGCACGGGCTGCTGGCACCAGGGGGTTCATGCGAGGCACTGTGGAGTGGCATTCAGCACGCCAGCCTGTCCTAATTGCTGCCTCTCAGGAGCAGCTGAAATGCCAGCAGAACTTCCCTTCTCTGCCCTCACGCAAGGCCCAACCAGTCAGACTGGCTCATCAAAAGCAGGCCCAGGGAGTTAAATAAACTCTGGCAGAGTAAAGCCACTAACAATAACACCACTGCCACAAAACTGAAGCTCTGCCAACTTTAATTATGTTTGGGTTGGACAGGGCATCTTTATTGTTTGCTAATGAAGGCAATAAAATAAATTAGCCCAGGCCTTTTAATATTAAATAAATGTATTTTACAGCTGCCTGGGAAAAGAAAAAAAAAACCAAAAACACAAGGCAAATATAGACTGAATGGTTTTGTGACATGCAGAGTGACACTGGGTGGACAAAAACATCCCAAGGCAGCAGAAGAGCTGAGTTAACTCTGCAGAAGTTAAAGAATTAGGAGTTTTTCCCCAAACAAGCCCTGTAATGCTGCTGGGATGCCCAAATGCTTGCCAAGCTTGCAGTGGCAGGGAAAAAGGAGAGGGTTGATGCTAGAGGAACTCGGAGGTTGGATCCCATCTTTTCCCTTGGCCATTTCAGCAGTTCTCTAGTTCCAGTTCTCTGCTAAAATAAATCCAGGCAATGGCTCAGGCAGAAGTGGACTCAGCACCTCCTGCAAGCTGTCCTGACATCACCAGCTCTTTCCTTTGGCAGTGAATAATCCCAGGTCCCAACTCCAGGTCCAGAGCCCCGGTGTGACAGTCTGGAGCTCCTGCCCACACCAGGCACAGGAGACATTCCCTGCTGCCTTCTGCTGCTGGTAAAGCTGGACCCACCTGCCTGCAGCCTCAGCCAAACACATTTACTGCCCCTCAAACAACACAACCTTAAGGGCTGCTTTTGCTAATCATCGTTGTTTTTAATTACAGCAAATCCCACCAGAGCTCTGGCTGACCTTCCAGTGTGAGCCTCTCCCAGCACTAGTGCACAATTCCCTCCAGCTGAGCAAAATCTGCCAGAGGGACAAAGGGACTGCCCCAGGCCCACTCTTTGTTCCTGAAGCAAAATTGAGGAGAGTGAAAGTTTTCTCTGTCCTCAAAGCAGCCCGGAACACTTCACACAATCAATATTCACATCCAGCCATGGAAGAGCTAAAAGAGGAGAAAAGTCAGTCAAGGACAGGGAAAGGAAAATCCTTTCCAAAGGAAAAGCCACACCGTGGGCATCACCCTCAGGGCACACCCAGCCTCTGATCCTGGCACAAAGCTCTGCCTGCTCCTGCACCTCCTCATTGTGAAGGAAAGGCTTGTTTGAAGAGCAGACCCTCCTGCAAACTCCTCTGAGCTCCAACACTGCTGCACAGTGTTGGCTCTGCTGAGGACCTGCTCCCAAAACACAGAGATGTTCAAACACAGGAGTTTTAGTGCCAACAGCAGAAACAGAGACAACACACATTTAAATTCTCTGCAAGCAGAAAAAGGCAGCTCACACCTTATGCAAGGAACAGCCTTTCCAGAGAGGCAGTTTTTGCCAAGCAGTTGCATTTCCCAGTAAATAAAGAGACAGATCAACAGCAGCCAGCCCAAATCAGTGAAGACTAATGATGTGTTTAGGAGTGTGGAGTCCCAGGGATGACTTAGCTCAGCCACAATCAGCTGGTAAGTTCTATTAGCTCCAGGTTTTCACTTGGTTGGAACAGATTCCCACCTTCTTCATTCCCTGCTCACTTGTAAAACACAGGGTTGTTTTAGAAATGTGACACTTGACAGCCTAGCTCCACAAAACCAGCTCTCAGAAAAGCATCCCAGTGGAATGAAGTGTTTATCCTACACACACCAAGTTCTCTCAGTCAGCAATAAAATCCCAGGCTGGAAGTCCTGCAGGTGAGTCTTTGGGGAACTCAAAAGACTGACTCAAAACTGCCATCAGCAGTTTGGTTTTACCTCTGTACCATCCTCCATGGCATCAAAAAGCAGGCAGGGATCCAGAGACAGGGATCCCACAGTGCCAAGAGCTGGATATGAACTCCCTGCCAATCTCCAGCATCAGTTTTGTGCTGTTGCAGCAGACAGAGAATCACTGTCTCTGTCAGAATCACTGTCTCACTGTCTCTATTAACACAATCATCTCTCAGACTGGCCCAGGGTGCAAAAAAAAAAGAGAAAGAAGTGCTTTGTCATAACTAGGAAGTGCTTTTTGCAAGGAGAGCTTCCCTTAGGAAACCAGAAAAAACTCTGCAGGGAGAATCCTGCCACAGACACATCCAAAACCAAGAAGGCTTTTGGAGCTCCTGGCACTCATTTAATCACCAGCTGCTCTCTGAGGCACTGAGAGGCAGGCTGCCTACAGCTCAGCATCCTCCTTCCAGCTGCTAAACAAAGGGATTGGGAGTGCAGCAAACAGCGTCGGGTTTCCATCCCTGAATTTCCTCACTGCTGCTCAGTGCATGGTGGTTTTCCTCCCAGGAATTCTGCTGCTAGAATCCCCTATCAGCCATGCTGCTCAGACTGGCTGCCAACAGTGGCTTAGCTTTTGTTTCAGACTAGACATCCACAGAGGCCCTGTCTCCTCTCAAACAAGCCAGCTGGAAGATGGATTGACAAGTATGAAATCTGAAAAATCCCACAAGATAGACAAGAAACCACACAGCAAATGAAGAGGTGCTTGTTCACAGAGCACAGAGGTAATCAGTGTGGCTTCCTCCACAGAGAGATGCTGAAAGCTTGGGGAGATTTAAAAAGCAAGAGGTTAAATTAAGCAGGAAAAAAAGCCATTAATCCTGAACTCTCACTGCTGCCTCAGGAAGTCTTAAAATCAAAGACAAAGCAGTGGGGGAAAGCTCCACTGCATGTTTCTGTCACTTTTCCTCCAGGATCCCTGCAAACACAACACTGAGCTGCTCCAAGCCACGGTGTTTTCCTCTCACCCAGGAGCAGGGTGGGACACCAGGAAGAGGAATGACAGAAATGGAGAACTAGGACATTGTTATACACCAGAACCATTCAAAAGAGAGACTTTTCAAAACTGAAAAGCAGCAAATCATTACAAATCCATCAGCTTCCTCCCCTGGAGCGTTTCACACCCCAGATGGAATTTCCAGGCAGAGGACGAATGACAGCACGAGGAGCTGCTCACACTTCTGCTCAGGCTACCAGAATATCAGCTGGTTTGAGGCCCTGCAAGAAGAGCTGACATCTGATTTCTTTCTGATGTGGAAAAGAAACACTCCTAGAATGCCAAATTTCCTTCACTCCCACATTTTACAGCACCTAAAATCAAAGGCAAGATATCCCAAGGAGATTGAAGTTACCTGGAATTTGGACTAAATGTGCCCTAAGTCCTTTTTACTTGAACTATATTTAAACCCCCACAGAAATGGAGAAGTACAACCCAAGGAGTGCCAGAAGCACAGGAAATCTCCTGAAACCATGAAAGCACAAATCCTGAGCCCATCCCTCTGTCCCCCAGGCTACTGAAATCAAAGCAAGGATTCCAACACCTCTCACTCAGTTCCCAGCCATCAGCTCTGCTCCCTGCTGGAGCAACACTTTGCTGCCCTGAGTATTTCTCTAAAGGCTGTGTGTGCACACACAAATCCAGCCTTGCTTGGACCACATCAAGCTGATTCTCATGCCAGAAACACAGGAAATCTCCTGAAATCATGAAAGCACAAATCCTGAGCCCCTCTGTCCCTCTCCCAAGTCCATGTGGGTTCCCCAGGCTACTGAAATCAAAGCAAGGATTCCAACACCTCTTACTCAGTTCCCAGCCACCAGCTTTGCTCCCTGCTGGAGCAACACTTTGCTGCCCTCTCTGAGTATTTCTCTCAGAAACACTGCAAAGGCTGTGTGTGCACACACAAATCCAGCCTTGCTTGGACCACATCAAGCTGATTCTCATGCCAGAAACACAGGAAATCTCCTGAAATCATGAAAGCACAAATCCTGAGCCCCTCTGTCCCTCTCCCAAGTCCATGTGGGTTCCCCAGGCTACTGAAATCAAAGCAAGGATTCCAACACCTCTTACTCAGTTCCCAGCCACCAGCTTTGCTCCCTGCTGGAGCAACACTTTGCTGCCCTCTCTGAGTATTTCTCTCAGAAACACTGCAAAGGCTGTGTGTGCACACACAAATCCAGCCTTGCTTGGACCACATCGAGCTGACCCCCTCACAGCAAAACCACACAATGTGTGCCCCCAAAAGCAGCAGTTTGGGTCCTTATGAGGAACATACCCGTGCAGAACTCCTTGTTGGGGTTCTGGGGTACCACAATCCTCCTGTAGACGATGGGCTCTGACTCCAGGATGTTCTCGTCGTGCCGGTAGCGGGCGGGTTTCTCGTTGGGGGTCCCTCGCGAGCGCGTGCCGCTCCTCCTCTCGTAAGTCTCGATCTCTTCAAACACAGCTGCCTTGTCAAAAAGGGCCAGGTTGCCCTCAAAATCGAAATCAGTGTCTGGGATTTCATCAATGTCATCCCCAAAGCATTCATCATCCTTGCTCTTCATCTGCCCGTTCTTCAGGCCGCTCTTCTTCGGGGTCACCTGGTTCGGGTGGCGGCTGCTGGATGACCCTAAGCCAAAAGAAAAGCAAGGTGGGAGTGGGTCCTGAAAGGGAAAAAGGCACTTCTTGGGGCAGAGGGGAGCTCCTGCTCACAGTCCCCTCACCCAAGGGGTGCTCACCATGGAGCTCAGCTCTGGAGCTGGCACTACTCAGGCTCAGCTAAGCCAGCAGGAAACAGAACGTCAGATAGAAAATAGAACACCAAGAGAAAAAAGAACACCAACAGAAAATAGAGCATCAGCTAAGAGACTTCCAGGGATTTCCCTCCACCAGCCAGGCTGGAAAAGCAGGCTTGCCCACAGCAGCAAAAGAGGTGTTTCTCCAGGTTTTATTTAACCCCAGTGCCACACCAGTGGCAAGGTAATCAGCTGTGACCTCGGAGTTTTCCCATGTTCAGGCAGGTGTGTGACCCAAGCCCTTCTCTGGAATTCCCCTAAATTTCAGAAACTACTGTAGGTGTTTCCTTCCCTGTTAATGATTTTTAAGGGAGAACTACAAACCCTGAATAGAAAGGATCTCTTTTTCCTCAGCCTTGATGTGATTTCTGTGATATGACACACAGTCCATTGCCCCACTCCTGTTTCACTCTCCTCCTCACCCATTACCTGGTGGTTTGGAATACACTTCTTTCCAACCATAAGTCATTGGGAAAGCCCAAATTCTCTGCAGTGAGACTGATGAAAGTCTCCTCCTTAGGGCTGGAGAAGAAGAACTGATGCAAATATACAATTAGGAGCTCAACATATCCTTTACTTGCCCATTTCTGCCTTTGTCCTTCAGGTCCAGACAATATTATTCTGTTTGTCCTTGCCAGTGTTGCATTTGCAATTACTAGAAAATATTTCAGACCAATTCCTGCAGTTATAACAATCACCTACAGCGTCCAACAGATGGAGTAAGTTATCAAGCCAGAGCTCTTGCTCTACTAACATTTCCTGTTGTTTAAGATAATCCCCTTTGTGATGGATTTATACAAATGAGTTAGAGAGAATCGGTTTGATAACACAGAAACAAAGAATTTCAAGCCATCCAAGGAGATTTTCAAACATCCCAGAACATTTGCAGCAGGCACAAACTCCACCAGCACCCTTCCTGTCCCCTTACAAGTCCAGTTTCAGCATGTCCAACTCCAGTCATGCTGAAATGGGATTTCCTGATGATGTTGTACCTGGTTTATTGCCAGTCAGAGATGCATTGCCCCAACAAGGATTTATTTCAGACACAGTGGGGCTTGGTTTTTCTCCAGAACTGGTTAATAACTCACCTGAAAGCTTTCCCAGTCACCACAGCAAGATCCTAAATCTGCCAGGCCTTGCAGAATAACCATTTCCCATCAAGAAAAAAACCCCAGACATCCTTCTCAAATGACAATGTACCTTTTTTCTTGGAAGGACAGACAGCAGAATTCCAGCACTGTGGTGAAAAAACAGGATTTAGGAGAGAGGAAAGGCTTGCCAGGGAGGAGAATTTCAGTAGGCACACTGCAACCACTCATTTATGTGCATGGTTTTGAAAGCTTTTGGTACCAACTTCCCCTCTGTCCCAAAGGTGACACAGAGCTGGACAGGATTTGGTTTGGAACTAAACTGCCACTGCTGGAATCAGAGCCAAAGGAGGAAGATGAGGAATGCAAACACAACAGGCCCCAGCTCTCCCAAGGCTCAGGAACTGCAGCTCCAGCAGGAGCCAAGGGGCTCTCAGGGTTCAGGGGGACAGGCTGGAGCCTGCACGGCACAAAGGCAAAGCCAGCCTGCTGCTCGTGCCAGTGGCAAGGGTTTGGCCAGCTCAGGCTGCTCCTGCCACACTCCCCTCACTGCCCCAGCACTCAGGGTGGGTGTCAGTGGGACAGGAGCAGCTGATGGGAGCACGGAATGCTGATGGAATAAAGCTGCACCAGAAAAGCTGGAGAACAATGGCAGCAAAGCTCCCTGCAGCCACAAAGAATGGGAGCCAGGAGCCCTCCTCATCACAACGTGGTGGGCAGCTCCCTGACCCACCCAGCTCTGCCCAGGCTGCCCCACAGCCCCCCAACAAGGCACACAGAACATGGCACAGGCTTCCAAGGAGCTGGGAGCAAAATTGGGAGCTGCTCCTCTTCAAGCATCGCCTTCTAGGCAGGAAAAAATGACAGCTGGTTCTGCTCAGGGAAAAGAAAAGAGGCAAAAGAAGGGCAAGGGGAGGAAAGCAAAGGCAGATCTCCTACTCCAGCTGCTTCTGGATCACAGCTTCCAGTGCTCTGCCCTGCATGAGGAGAGCTCCACTCCAAGCTGGCACACACAAAAGCACCTCCCTCACAAGATAAACAATCCTTCCCGGGCTTTTTTTGTTTCTGAGGAATAACAACCCTTTCATGTACAGCACACAAGCAAACAAAGTCTCCAGCGAGCTGGCTGCCTTCCTGAGAGATCCCTGTGGGAGGCTTTGCTGGCAGCCCTGGCACCACGAGCCCGGTGCCAGCACGGCAGCAGAGCCATTGTTGGGAAACCTGCGCTGCTGCTTGGGGTTTATTGATTCCTGTCACACCAGGGCTCCAAAGGGGAATGCTGGCCCTCACTTGGCACGCTAGAGGCCAGCAAGAGGTCAACTTTCAGCTGCAGGACCCAAGCTCTGGATGGCATCTCAGTCCTGCACTCCTGCACAAAGCCAGGCCCAAATGCATCCCCCTCCTAAAACTCACACATCACTCACATACTCTCCAAACACACATTTTACATCCTCCTTAGGGTTGGAGAAGAAGAACTGATGCAAATATACAATTAGGAGCTCAACATATCCTTTACTTGCCCATTTCTGCCTTTGTCCTTCAGGTCCAGACAATATTATTCTGTTTGTCCTTGCCAGTGTTGCATTTGCAATTACTAGAAAATATTTCAGACCAATTCCTGCAGTTATAACAATCACCTACAGCGTCCAACAGATGGAGTAAGTTATCAAGCCAGAGCTCTTGCTCTACTAACATTTCCTGTTGTTTAAGATAATCCCCTTTGTGATGGATTTATACAAATGAGTTAGAGAGAATCGGTTTGATAACACAGAAACAAAGAATTTCAAGCCATCCAAGGAGATTTTCAAACATCCCAGAACATTTGCAGCAGGCACAAACTCCACCAGCACCCTTCCTGTCTCCTTACAAGTCCAGTTTCAGCATGTCCAACTCCAGTCATGCTGAAATGGGATTTCCTGATGATGTTGTACCTGGTTTATTGCCAGTCAGAGATGCATTGCCCCAGCAAGGATTTATTTCAGACAGAGTGGGGCTTGGTTTTTCTCCAGAACTGGTTAATAACTCACCTGAAAGCTTTCCCAGTCACCACAGCAAGATCCTAAATCTGCTAGGCCTTGCAGAATAAGCATTCCCCATTAAGGAAAAAACCCCAAATATCCTTCTCAAATGATAATGTACCTTTTTTCTTGAAAGGACAGACAGCAGAATTCCAGCACTGTGGTGAAAAAACAGGATTTAGGAGAGAGGAAAGGCTTGCCAGGGAGGAGAATTTCAGTAGGCACACTGCAACCACTCATTTATGTGCATGGTTTTGAAAGCTTTTGGTACCAACTTCCCCTCTGTCCCAAAGGTGACACAGAGCTGGACAGGATTTGGTTTGGAACTAAACTGCCACTGCTGGAATCAGAGCCAAAGGAGGAAGATGAGGAATGCAAACACAACAGGCCCCAGCTCTCCCAAGGCTCAGGAACTGCAGCTCCAGCAGGAGCCAAGGGGCTCTCAGGGTTCAGGGGGACAGGCTGGAGCCTGCACGGCACAAAGGCAAAGCCAGCCTGCTGCTCGTGCCAGTGGCAAGGGTTTGGCCAGCTCAGGCTGCTCCTGCCACACTCCCCTCACTGCCCCAGCACTCAGGGTGGGTGTCAGTGGGACAGGAGCAGCTGATGGGAGCACGGAATGCTGATGGAATAAAGCTGCACCAGAAAAGCTGGAGAACAATGGCAGCAAAGCTCCCTGCAGCCACAAAGAATGGGAGCCAGGAGCCCTCCTCATCACAACGTGGTGGGCAGCTCCCTGACCCACCCAGCTCTGCCCAGGCTGCCCCACAGCCCCCCAACAAGGCACACAGAACATGGCACAGGCTTCCAAGGAGCTGGGAGCAAAATTGGGAGCTGCTCCTCTTCAAGCATCGCCTTCTAGGCAGGAAAAAATGACAGCTGGTTCTGCTCAGGGAAAAGAAAAGAGGCAAAAGAAGGGCAAGGGGAGGAAAGCAAAGGCAGATCTCCTACTCCAGCTGCTTCTGGATCACAGCTTCCAGTGCTCTGCCCTGCATGAGGAGAGCTCCACTCCAAGCTGGCACACACAAAAGCACCTCCCTCACAAGATAAACAATCCTTCCCGGGCTTTTTTTGTTTCTGAGGAATAACAACCCTTTCATGTACAGCACACAAGCAAACAAAGTCTCCAGCGAGCTGGCTGCCTTCCTGAGAGATCCCTGTGGGAGGCTTTGCTGGCAGCCCTGGCACCACGAGCCCGGTGCCAGCACGGCAGCAGAGCCATTGTTGGGAAACCTGCGCTGCTGCTTGGGGTTTATTGATTCCTGTCACACCAGGGCTCCAAAGGGGAATGCTGGCCCTCACTTGGCACGCTAGAGGCCAGCAAGAGGTCAACTTTCAGCTGCAGGACCCAAGCTCTGGATGGCATCTCAGTCCTGCACTCCTGCACAAAGCCAGGCCCAAATGCATCCCCCTCCTAAAACTCACACATCACTCACATACTCTCCAAACACACATTTTACAGGGTAAAACATCCCTTCTGTACCTCCTGTATCCCAAAATGAACCCAAGCCAACACCTAGGACCTCGCTCAACCTGCCTCAAAGTCTGTAAAAGTCACCTGCTGTGCTATGCAAACCTAACATGAGTTGTTTGTAGGGTGAAGCTCTGCTCGCCCCAAATCCACCAGACATCCTGGAAGGGGTAAAAATATCCCAGTTGATGGTGGGGGGACAAATTCTCCAAAGGGGAATGCTGGCCCTCACTTGGCACGCTAGAGGCCAGCAAGAGGTCAACTTTCAGCTGCAGGACCCAAGCTCTGGATGGCATCTCAGCCTATTCTTCCCTGCACTCCTGCACAAAGCCAGGCCCAAATGCATCCCCCTCCTAAAACTCACACCTACTCTCCAAATACACATTTTACAGGGTAAAACATCCCTTCTGTACCTCCTGTATCCCAAAATGAACCCAAGCCAACATCTAAGACCTTGCTCAACCTCCCTCAAAGTCTGTAAAAGTCACCTGCTGTGCTCATGCAAACCTGAGCTGTTTGTGGGCTGAGGTTGACAACTCCTAACTCTGCTCACCCCAAATCTACCAGACATCCTGGAAGGGGTAAAAATATCCCAGTTGCTGGTAAGGGAGAAAGACTTCCAGAGGTCTAGGAATTTCTCCCCAAACCCACAGCCTTACAGCTGTTTCACTGGCCTGGCCCACCTTGGTTGGTTTCTTTTGCAAGAAAATGAAATCATGGAATTACTCTGGATGCATACCAAGGCTTCAACAATTAAGCCATGGAAATACCAAGGTTTCAACAATTAAGTCATGGAAATATGCTGGATGTACACTGAAATCTGAGGAATTAGATTATGAGGATCAGGAAAGGGAGACAGCTCAGGGAGCTTTGAGGAAAAAAGTGAACAAACCAGTTTTGGCCCAATTTTGAAGATTTTATCAAGAGAAATAAAAACAAGGGATGTGTGACTTTGGGATGCTCTGATTTTACATCACTTTCATTAATTCATATTTTTAACAACACAGCCAAAACCCATTTGTAATTATGTACAGGGTGATGCTGTAATAGGTTATGGGTTTAGAAGCCTTAAATAGAAAAGTTTGGGGAGATTTAAAAAGCAAGAGGTTAAATTAAGCAGGAAAAAAAGCCATTAATCCTGAACTCTCACTGCTGCCTCAGGAAGTCTTAAAATAGTGAAAGACAAAACAGTGGGGGAAAGTCTCCCTGCATGTTTCTTTCACTTTTCCTGGAGGATTCCTGCAAACACAACACTGAGCTGCTCCAACCCACGGTGTTTTCCTCCCACTTGAGGATCACACTGCAGTTTGTAGCAGCTCCTTGTAGAGGAAAAGGCTGGAAGCTGGGCAACCTTCAAACAGGAAAGATAGCAAAATGAGGAAATCCTTGGAACTGGCATTAGATATTTTCTACATAGACAGAATCACCAAGATTGAAGAGACCTTTAAGACCTTTGAGTCCAAGCCATGCCCTAGCACCACCTCAAGTAGACCATAGCACTGAGTGCCACATCCAGTCTTGTTTCAAACACATCCAGGGATGGGGACTCCACCACCTCCCCAGGCAGGCAAATCCAGTACTTTATCCCTCTTTCAATAAAAAACCTTTTCCTAACATCCAATCAAATTTAAAACTGTGTCCTCTCATTCAGTCAGGAACAAGAGACCAACCCTGTCCTGGGTTGCCAAGCAAACTGGATTCTGTTTGCCATGTCTCCTGTTCAGGGGGCAGTTTTCCTTATCTCTTCCACACCCAATCCTTCCTGGGGACACATCTGCTGATACCAGGCTGTGGAATGTCCCTGCATGGCTGATAAGAACTGCAGCATCCACTGGGAGATGTGAGCCCAGGGGAGGAGCCCTGCATTCCTACCTGGATACAATCTGGAGTTCTGGAACACCAGCACAGCTTCTCTGGATTCCCAGAGGAACAGCTGCCTCCTCCACTGCATCTTCAGAGGAAGATTGCACCTTTCTACAGGATCCTGCTCCAGGAACCACCCCTGGCACTGCACACTGCATCTTCAGAGGAAGATTGCACCTTTCTACAGGATCCTGCTCCAGGAACCACCCCTGGCACTGCAGGACTGCAGCCACCATTCCAATGGGACTGCTACAGGATCCTGCTCCAGGAACCACCCCTGGCACTGCAGTGGGACTGCAGCCACCATTCCAATGGGACTGCTACAGGATCCTGCTCCAGGAACCACCCCTGGCACTGCAGGACTGCAGCCACCATTCCAATGGGACTGCTACAGGATCCTGCTCCAGGAACCACCCCTGGCACTGCAGTGGGACTGCAGCCACCATTCCAATGGGAATGCTACCACCACCCTGACCAGGGTGTCAGGTTGTGTTCTGACTCTGTCAGTGTAGTTTTGGTTTACTGCATTGTTTATTTCATCTTTTTATTTCCTTCCCTAGTAAAGAACTGTTATTCCTGCTCCCATATTTTTTGCCTGAGAGCCCCTTAATTTAAAATTTAGAGCAACTCAGAGGGAGGGGGTTTACATTTTCCATTTCAGGCGAGGCTCCTGCCTTCCTTAGCAGACACCTGTCCTTCCAAACCAAGACAACCCTCACCTGACTACAACACCTCTAGGTGGGGTCAGAAATACACTCTAATTCAAAACAACCCAGAGCTGGGCCAGGGGAAGCTCCCAGCAAAGGCTGGTGGCAAAGGGAAGTGCTGGAGCAGCAGAGCCCCACACTCACAGGAGTTGTGCCTCCGCCGGAAGCCCTTGGGCTGGCTCAGCGTCTCCATGTGTCGGTCCATGTAGCTCTTGGAGCACTGCTGCTGTGGGGAGATGACAATGTCCTGGCTCTTCATGTCCGTCCTCCTGGGGATGTTCTGTGGGGCACTGCTGGACAGGGGTTTCTTCAGCACCTTGCCAGTGCCGTTCTGGCTGGGCCCCACCTGGCAGCCCACCCCTGGCATGGCCGTGTCCATGTGCTGTGTGTCCCCACATTGCCTGCTGTCCCCAGGCCCCGGGATCTCCAGGATCTTCAGCTCAGTGATGTCACCTGCCCTAAAAACAGCACGAGAACAGCAGGAATTTAGCACACACCCTGGCAGGAAAAACCCTCCTGAGGAAAAACATCGCTGCCCAATGGGATTGTTCTGATGTCATCATCAATTAAAACACGGAATAAAAGGATTTTAATGCTCGAACATACACAGACATCAAAATGTTCAGCTGAAATGGCAAATCTTCAAAATAACAACTTCAGTATGCCTGCACTGCACCTGGATTTTGTCTGAAAGGTTCTGCAGCTGAAACAGGAATCAGTCAAGCAGAAAATGGAAGCAACCGGCCCAGAGCTTTGCAGAAATCTGCATTAATTTAACAGTTCCCAGCTAATTAATTGCTCTCAGCCTTGAGGCTGCTATTACTTTTAATCCATTTCTGCAGAAAGCCACCCTCAGATCAGAGCTGTTCATGCTCAGACAAGGAGGATACTTCCCACTTCCAAAGAAAAAAGGCTAAAGAAAACTAATCTAGCACTGGGCACCAGCCAAAAGCCAACAAAGGGGTGATTCCAAAGCCCTGCACTGGCTGCAGGGCAGAAATTGGGAATTGGGCTCCTCAGCTTCACCTCAGCATCTGTCCAGGGGGTGTGAAAGCAGAGAGATTTCCACCACCCCCTGCCTGCCCCCAGTGCCTCTCCTCAGAATCCAAGGGGAAAAATAAATTCAGAGTATTTGTGGAGGCAGTGCTGTTGAGAAAGGAGGGACTCGAGCCTGGAGTGCAGCATTTCAGGGACAGGAAAAGGGGCACTGAGGAGTGACCCCCACTTATTGGGGGTTTGTTAAGCAGGGTTAGCAGGAACAGGGGGGAAAGAACTGCTGGGGGCAAAGCTTTGGGAAAGCACCTCGGCCCCTCTGCTACAACAGAGCAGAGCAGAAATCAAAGCACTGGAAATAGAAATAAATAAAAATATACATTAATAAAAACTGTAAGCGAAAAATATCTATTTATCATATACATTATATATTAAGATATATTTAATACATAAAACATATTAAATATATCTATTTTACATATTATACCATTTTATATATTATAGAATTATATATATTATAGAATTATATATATTATAGAATCATATATATTATAGATTCATATATATTATATTAATAATTTCAGAATTACATTTTTATATAAGAGAAATAAAATTATAAATAAAAATTATACATATTTGTTATATATGTATATAATAAATATAATTTATATATTTCAATATATATTTTATATACTAGAGATTATAGATTATTATTTTAAATTACATTATATAAAATTATTAAAATATTTATATAATATATAATATTTACATATAAATAATATATGATTATATATTGTAATTTTATATATTAAAACTTTCTATATTGTACATTAATTACTATAAAATTATATTATATATTATATATTATATATAAATAAAATTATAAACAAAATAGAAACAGTAAAATATTATTTATTTTTATAAATAAAAATAATTTACAATAACATATAAATATATATTTGTCCACACACATGGCCTGACCCCCAAATAACCTCCTAGCCCAGTGCAATGGGAGAAATGGATTTGTAAAGTTTGACAGAAGTTTATGTAGTATGTATTTATATATAAATTTTAAGATAAGTAATGTTGATTTAGAAATACTATAGAATAAGATATTGTTAAGAGAGAAACAGAGTTTAGAGTTTAAAAAAAGTTTTATAAAGTATTTTAGAAAAACAGAATTATGAAAAATGTATAATAGTAAGACCTATGAAGAGTAATCTAAAATTAATTTTATAAATAAAATATTTCCGAAAAATAGAATTATAAAAATATAGTAAGAGTTACTAAAAGTAACTTTAAATGAGTAGTTTTACAAATAAAATGAACTATTTTAGAAAAACAGAATTATAAAAAATACAGTAAAAATATTATAGTATAACATAGTCAAACATATTATATTATAAATATACAAATATATTTATATATAATAAAAATACTATACTACAGTAATATATATTATAAAAAATACAGTACAACTTACAAAGAGTAATTTGAAATGATTTGCTTTAAAACACCTAGAACATAGAACAAAGAATGAATAAACCAAGAGCCACTTGTAGTGTTCCACAGCTCAGTGGTTTTGTGTCACCAGTTTGAGATGTCACAGTTGGGGTGTGCTGGGCTCAGTGCTGGGCAATGCCCTGCTCTCACCCCTGCTGGGAGACAGGACCAGGAGAAGGCTAAAGCAGCCTCAAACCTTCTCAGGGTATAAACAAAAATGTTCATTTTTTGTGCTGGTGAATGCTCTGCATCACTTCCCCAAGTGTCTCTCATGCAAAACTATGAGAACAATTAAGAAACAGTTTAACTTCTAATTGTAACAGCATAAATTATAATATCTATCTTATCGCATCATTCTCATAAAACTAAAAGTTCATTAAACACCTTTCAGTTACCCCATCCCTAAATCAAAATTAAAACTATAATCTAACAGTCTGTCTTGGGCTGGAAATGGGGCTGTGTATTCTGTTCCTACCTGTGGAGCAGTTCTCTTCTGTTAAAGGGCCATTAATTATTAATTATCTTCTGTTCATGGGCCATGAATGTCACTGAGTAACTGATCAAATTCCATCATCCCACTGGGAGATGCTCTGCCCAGGGGAGGAGCCAAGCATTCCTACCTGGATACAATCTGAGCCTGGAACAGCACAGCAGCCTCTGCCCCCTGCATTCCCAGAGGAGCAGCTTTCTCCTGCCCTGCATTCCCACAGGAGCAGCTTTCTCCTGCCCTGCATTCCCAGAGGAACCCCAGGCCCATCTCCAGCAGCCCTGGAGCTGCAGAGGAAAACTGCAGCCTTGTGCAGGATCCCTGCTCCAGCAGAAGCACAGCTGGCACTGCAGGAGGGCTGAGCCACCCTGGGATGGTGTCACAGGTCTATTTTATAAAAAATCCTTTTGCCAGGATCTTTTCTCCTGAGAAGCTGGGAACCTTCAGCTTCTCCATGTTTTGTTGCTTTGGAATACGATTTACAGAATTGTCTACCCAGTATGTGAAATTGTTTTTGCTTGGTGACCAATGGCAGCCACCTGTGTTGAGCTGTGAGCAGCCACCAGCTTTTGTTATAATTCATTCCTTTCCTTTCCAACCTTCTGAAGGATCCTTTCTCTCTATTCTTTTTTGTAGTTTTAGTATAGCATTTAAATATAATATAATATCATAATATAATAATAAATCAGCCTTCTGAAACATGGAGTCAAGATTCTCATCTCTTCCCTCATCCTGAGACCCTCAAACTCATCCATGGGATGGGACTGTGACACCACCCTGATTCACAGGGGCTCAGCTGCTGCTCTGACTCTGGCAGTGCTGTTTTGTATTCCTGCATTGCTTTTTTCCCTAATGAAGAACCATTATTATTATTATTACTACTATTATTATTACTACAATAATAATAATTATTATTATTCCTACTCCCAAATCTTTGCCTGAGAGCTCCTTAATTCCAAAATTATAACAACTCAGAGGGAGAGGGTTTATTTCCCACTGCAGGGAGGCTCTCCAAAGCAGGACCCCGGGCAGGGGGGCACTCACCTGAAGGTGACCTCGGGCACGAGGCACTTGACGCCGTTGTGGAAGGGCCGCGTGAGGGAGATGGTCTGGCTGACCTGGTCCACAGCAGACACCCTGCCCTGGTACACGCCCAGGCTCTCCCCACAGTTGATGGACACGATGCTGCCCAGCCAGTCCGTGGCCATGGTTGTGCAGAGCTGCTGCAACGAGAGGCACAAAGCCACAGCCGGGATCAGCAGCGCTGCCCCGGAGCCCTGGCAGCCTCTGCTGGCCCCTCTCCCCTTGCTGGGGAGGAACTGACACCCCAGCCACCCCAGGCAGGGTGTAAACCCCAGGATAATACAGAATAATTTACAACAAAATATAAACATAGATTTGGGGCTTTGCCTTCCCCATTGATCTTTGTCTGAACAGCTGAATTCAAGATCCAAAAGAAATATTTAGTGTTTCGTCCTGCCTTGTGGAAATTTTCCTTTTGTCTTTTTCCCAAGCTGGAAATGAAACTCGAGCTTCAATTTTAGTAAGGAGGTAATATAAGATCTTCACAAAAGCCCCTGAAGGCCTTCAAATAAAGATCTGCAGATCTTTGCCTGACCAGCTGAATTCAAGATCCAAAAGAAATATTCAGTGTTTCGTCCTGCCTTGTGGAAATTTTCCTTTTGTCTTTTTCCCAAGCTGGAAATGAAACTCGAGATTCAATTTTAGTAAGGAGGTAATAGAAGATGCTCACAAAAGCCCGTGAAGGCCTTCAAATAAAGATCTGCAGATCTTTGCTTGACCAGCTGAATTCAAAATCCAAAAGAAATATTTAGTGTTTCATCCTGCCTTGTGGATATTCTCTTTCCAACCTGGAAATGAAACTCCAGATAATTTTAGTAAGGAGGTAATAGAAGATGTTCACAAAAGCCCCTGAAGGCCTTCAAATAAAGATCTGCAGATCTTTGCTTGACCAGCTAATTCAAAACCCAGAAGAAATATTTGGTGTTTTGTCCTGCCTGTGGATATTCCCAAGCTGAAAATGAACCAGATAATTTTAGTAAGAAGGTGATATAAGAAAGATGATCACAAAAGCTCCTGAAAGCCTACAAATAAAGATCTGCTCTATAAGAAAGTTGTCCACAAAAGCCCCTGGAGACCTTCAAAGAAAGATCTGCAGATCTTTGTCTGACTGGGTGGATTCCAAATCCAAGAGGAATATTCAGTGTTTCATCCTGCTTGTGGATATTCTCCTGTTGCCTTTTCCTTAGCCTGGAAATGAAACTCAAAATCATTTTAGTAAGGAGGTGATACAAGATGTTCACAAAAGCCCCTGAAGGCCTTCAAATAAGGATCTGCAGATCTTTGCTTGACCAGCTGAATTCAGAATCCAAAATAAATATTTAATTGGTTTGTCCTGCCTGTGGATATTCTCCTGTTGCCTTTTCCCCAGTCTGGAAATGAAACTTGAGATAATTTTAGTAAGGAGGTGATATAAAAAAGATGTTCACAAAAGCCCCTGAAGGCCTTCAAATGCTCCCTGTGATTTCCAACTGGGAATTTCTCTCCACTGCCCAGATTTCATTTCCAGGCTGGGATAAAGGCAACGCTCCCTGTGATTTCAAACTGGGAATTTCTCTCCACTGCCCTGGTTTCATTTCCAGGCTGGGATAAAGGCAACGCTCCCTGTGATGTCAAACTGGGAATTTCTCTCCACTGCCCTGGTTTTGGCAGATGGACACTGGGCCAGAACAGCTCCTGTGAATATTCAGGATTGATCTCTGCACGTGCAAAAGAAAAGCAAAATCTTTCAGGGAACAGAGATACAGGGCAGGAGGGGAATCCTAACCAACAGAGAAACACAAAAGGGGAAAAAAAACCCCAAAAACTGGAATGCAGGAGAAAAGCAGCAAAGGCAGCAGCAGCCACAATTAGATACATGAATTAAAAAATAGTTGCTCTGCTTCCCAGCACTGGAGTTCTGTCAGAAGCAGGGAGGAAGAAGTGCAATTTGTTTAGACAGATGTTTCCAGCCCTGCTGGAAGCACCTAAAGAGCTCCTTTGATCCCACATTTCCCAGTGACAGGCTCACGAGCATCACGGAGAACAGGAGACATGACAAGCTCCTGAATGTGTAGATTTGCCTTTCGTGCTGCAATCAAAGAGGGAGAATGTTTGATGTTTACTGCGAGCAGCACAAAGAAACACAGGAGACAGCCCAGGGAGATCAGCTTCCATGTAAAAATCACATTGCTGGAAGAGGCAGCTGGAGCCCCTGCAAGCTGAGCCTCGTGGAAAAAGTGCAAGGGAAAAGCGTGTCCCGTGTCCCGTGTCCCGTGTCCCTGCCCCGTGCCCCTCACCCGCCGCCGCTCCCGCCTCGCCGCGGCCCCTCCGCCTCACCGCCGCTCGGCGTGACGTCACTTCCGGACCCGCCCCCCGCGCGGCGCTCCGGCCGCCGGCGGCACCATAGAGACGGCGGCGCTGTGCGCATGCGCAGTGCCCAGGCCAGGAGCGCTCCGGCGGCTGCGACACCTGTGTGACACACCTGTGTTAAAAGAAAAAACCTGGGTGAGGAAAAAAAAATAAATCTCACTTCCCCCAAGTTCCACGGGCTGAAAGCAGGGGATGCTTCAAAGGGAAGAAAAGATTCAATTTGGTCACAAAGCCATAAATTGCTCAGCAGAGGCTCCTGTCCTTCCTGGGCTGTGTGTTGATGCTACCCACGATGAGAATGTCTGCATTCCAAGGAGAGGGCTGCCAAAAGCACCTCACAACACAGATAACACCCTCAGAACACACAACCACCCTCCAAGCACACCCCTGGCCACCCACAGCAGAGCCAGAGCTTCATTCCATTTCCTGTTTTCTTTTCCATCTCCCTCAGGAAATAGGGGAAGGAGCTCAGCACACACCATCACCTTGCAGGGATCCTGTTGAACAACACGAGCCTCCTTGTAGCAGAACAACAGCCAACAATAAATCTGTGTCTGAGTGCAAATAGAAATTAAACTATCCTGGCGTGGGACTGGGGGGTGGCTGTGTCCCTGTAGGAAAATACAGGGAGCCCCACAGGCAAACACAGGGATCCCAAATATTGGGAATATTGTAAATATGGTAAATGTGGCAAATATTG